GAAATAAGACATGTATATCGTCCTCTGTACCAGTCAAGTGCAATCTACTTGAGCAAGAATTCAAGCTTCTGTTTACCACTGGATTCAAGATGGCCTTGAGAAGAAGTTATTGCAACTAGAAAAGATCAATATTGATAAAAATGCATCAAATATAATGACGAAGACCCTACCTAAAAATAAACCGGAGCTATGTAGATCCCTCCTTATTGGATTTGAGTGGGAGATAATTGGGATCCCGTTCCATGAGGAGGGACCCCAACTTTATTTGAATAAGGGGATGGGACCTGGTGTCATTAGGCCCTTTCACAGATGGGACCTGGTGTCATTAGCCCCTATGTGAAAGGGCCTAATGACCTAGGGGACAAGTCATTGGGAAGCTTACACCTTACGTGGGAGCTTTGGAGAGAGAGAGATGATTAAGCCAACCCGTTTGAAGATGTAGAAATCCTAAAAAGTAGAGGGCCTCTAGCCTCTGCTTAGAGACCTTCTAATACGTCCCCTATACTTTTTTTTTTTTCCCTTTATTAATGTTTGCTTGAGACACGGAATGAGACTTATATGTCATGTTGTCTTGAATTTTAGCTCGGGACTTGGTGAAAATAGAACTCTAACCACTAAGTTGTGGTACCTGTCACCCTGACCACCTTTGCCTAGAGCTACTCTTCCTTTTTTTTACGAGGGAAAATTCGCATACGAGATCCCAAGCTTAAAAAAACATGTACTTCTCCCTTTTCTTCCGAGGGGAAATTCGCATACGAGACCCTGGACCTACAAAAACCCATATGAGACCGAATGTCCAACATCTACTTCTTACCACTCGAACTCGTTCAAAAGTCCATCTTTGTTTGTCAAGCTGGTCTATCTTCACAGTGGTGTCACCAAAGAGGGGATTTGCACTGTACATCTTTTGTGTAGAGCAGGTTCTGATGAGATATTTCTTAGGTGGTTGGGACAAGTTGAAGGGATAAGCTTTCTTAGTTTTATTCGAGGGAAAAAGTACATTTTGCAAAATATTATCTAGACCGTCCATTTTCAAGATTTTTATATGTTTATAGATCTTTTTAATTTAACTATTTTTAAAATTTAAAATTTTATAATTAGATATGAAAATAAATCTTCATATAATCTTAAGAATTTTTTTCTCCAATTTTATATATTATTATAAAATTTGAAGGTGCGATTGGATTGCTTAAGGTTTTGCATCCTTTATAGAAACCATACGATATTTGAGGGACGATATATGGATTCGAAGTCAACATTACAAAAGGTCAAGAAAAAAAACAGCAACTTTTTAAAGTTCAAACCATAGACCTCTCTCATTGTGCCTAACCAATCGGCCAAAAGGCACATGTTATTTAGTAAATGCATTCTACGTCACGCCGTTATTTATTTATTGTAGAAAGAATGCAGGACGACATTAAAAAACGCACTGCAAATTCCATGCCGTTGTACTTTCTTCATTAAAAAACACACTTCAAATTCCATGCCGTTGTAACAATATAGAAAAAGCAGATAACGAATATGTATTGCGTACCACTCCATGTCCTAGTAGAGGGAATATAATATATCGAAGGGTGCGGTTTCTGTAAGGTTGTAACCTGAAATAATTCAATTTAGGCGTATCTAAAATTTTTATCATAACATGTAATTTTGTTGTAAAAAATTCTTAGGATTATCTTAAAATCTATTTTCATACCTAATTAGAAAATTTTAAATTCTAAAAATGGTTAAAATCAAGTAGATCTATAAATATATGAAAATCTTGAAAATGGACGGTCTAGATAATTTGTTGCAAGATGCATTATTTTTTGGATTAAATTTTTTTTTTTAATATATATTCATACATTTCGATATCGAGATGATCGATTAGAGAGTTTTTCAACATTAAAACAATATTTTCGATAGATTTTTGAGGTGTATCTGTGATTCTACATTTTAAGGTTGCAACCTTTTATAAACTTTTCCCATAAATCAAATATGATAATATGTGAATATAAATATGAACAATGACTTTTTACATTCCATTAGACAAGTTAGCGTTCATAACATGATTTTAAAAAAGAAAAAGTTTATGAAAGTGTGAGACTCTAAACAATCAAATTAAGGCGCTTGTCAAAAATTTATTAAAAAAAGTTGTTTCGATGCTAAAAACCCTCAATTCGATCATCTCAACCTCAAGATGTATGGACGTGAGAAAAAAAAAAGTTTTCAAGTATTGAAAATAGTGCATCTTCTAATGTATCATCTAGACCGTCAATTTTCAAGATTTTCAAGTATTCATAGATTTGCTCAATCTACACTATTTTCGAACTTTAAGTTTTATTATTAGAGATCAAAATAAATTTTCAGGCCATCATAAAGATTTCTAATATTAAAACAACATATTTTGGCACTATTTAAAGGTGTGTGCTATTTTGATTGCTTAGAGCCTCAGCCTTACACAAACCGTGCCTTTTTAAAAATAGACGCGGTCATGGAAATATTAGCCGTTATAACGCTGAAACTTTTACCCATGATGTTATATAATCGTTATATGATGCGGGGAGGGATGTAAAAGCGGCTTATATGATAAATGCTGATTGTATTTTGGTGTAACGATCATTATGTAACGGCTTAGAGCTCATGTATCGGGTTTCCAACTGTAATAATGAAATAATGTTAGGAAGTTGAGATATGGGTAAAAATGTAGATTTGATCAGTGAATGATTTTACATTCAATTGTGTTGAAGAGATACGAGCTCAAGACTTTTATGTAGGAGCATGGTTTTAAAAAGGTCGTCCTAACGGAAATATCGGCCGTTATAACCCTAAACTCTTACTCATAATGTTATGCACAGGATTGCAATTTTAATAATGAAAGTGGATATAACGGATTGCATTTCAAAATAATGGAAACAACAGCCAACATTTTGAAGGAATGCTCTCTTTTGTAACGCGCTGGCCCTTTATTAAACGGTAACGGACAAGGCCGGTCTTAAAGGTTTTTCAAAAGCATATAAAACAAGAGGCGATTAGTAATAAACGCCGTGCGAAGGGAATTGTGCGAATCACTTGCTTTGTGTGCCTCAAAAGTAAACAAGATTCTTCCTTGAACACTAATCATTAAAGATAGGAAATGAAGAAGACGACTTCTTTTTCGGCAACACCCATGTCGCTTGTTAAGATTAAGATTTTTAATCATAGAGAGATCAAAGATTTTAATTAGAGAGAGAAAGAGAGAGATCAAGGATTTTAATTAGAGAGATAGAGACGGGGATATGCCCATAAGGCAAGTACAATGAGACTGTGGGAGAGAGAGAGAAAGGGATATTTTAATTAGAGAGAGAGAGAGAGAGCGATGGGTCCGCAAGCCAAGTACAATGAGACTGAGAGAGAGGTGAAAGATATTAGGGAAAATGTTTTTATAGGGATAATGGACTCCTCTCAAAACAAGTAAAGCCTCACCTCATCTTCACAAAAGATTGCACCTCTCGTGTTAGAAAGGCTTCAGATCAATCATCATAAAAATGATTTAAACCCTAAAAATAATTTATACACATTATCTAGATCGTTTATTTTTTACTAAAAATGAGTGTTCATAGATCTGCGAGATCATTACTTTTTTTTTAGCTTCATATATCATAGCTATTGTTGTAAATTGATTTTAGAGCCATCATAGAGATTTTTAATGCCCAAAGTACTTTTCGAACAAAGATTTGAGGTGAGGCTTTACATTGTTATCCTAACGCCAGGCTCGTAGAAACTAGAAAAGGATAAATGGGAGTACAATGAGAGAGAGAGATGATATATTTTAATGGAAAAATAGTTTGATAGGGTTGCAGCTCTATCAAAATAGGGCAGTGATCTAATGCAAGGGTTGTATAGTAATATGATGCAACAACTTTCAAAAATTATGTTAAGGCCATTTGTTTGATGCAAATGTTAAAATATACACACTTTTCATTGTAATGTACAATCGTAAAAAAGGAAAATTTTAAAACGAAACCCAGAAAGTATTTTTTTAATCCAATTAACATAGGCTGTCCATTTTGATAAGATGCTTAGATCTAGGACTTAGAAGGATTTTTTCCTTTTAAATTTTTTTAGATGCTTTATTATTATTATATGAAAATATTAGGAAAGAAAAAAATAATTTTTAATTTGTAAATGCTAAGATCTAAAAATTCACTTAATGAACGGTCTAGATTCGTTGTTAGAGGGGACTCATTTTAACCATATCTAGGGTTCAAATTGAATTTTTTTTTGGATTGATTATTAAGATGAAGAGCGCGTGTGTTCAAAATTTTGGGTCATACAAATACTACTAATATGATTTTTTGGAAGTGTGGTTGCATTATACTATGATACAGCCGTTGCATAAAATCACTGCTCTTCAAAATATGTAAATCTCGCTTCATAATTCTTTGAAAATTACAATTCAAGCACTAAAAAAGCTTTACATCAATCATCTCAACTTGAGCAAATTAGTTGTAAAAAAAAAAGTTGATTTTAAGTTCTAAAAATTGTATATATTGTGATAAATTATCTAAACCATTTATTTCACCTTAAAAATAAGTATTTATAGATCCGCAAAATCTCCACCATTATTTGAATCCCAGTATTGGAATTGATTTCGATCCATCCTGGAGATTTTTATTGCCAAAAGTGGTTTCCTGGGGTGAGGTTTTATTTTATTTTCATTAAACCTTATATGAATTGAAGAGGGAGAGAGCACAAAAGTACAAGGGAACCTAGAGAGAGAAAGTAAAATCGTAAAGGCAAATTGGCACCTCAAAGAAGGCAACAAGATATCCGCCACCTTTTAGCATGCATGTGGACACCGTTGACTTCAGCTGAGACACGCGGACTCCAAAATTGGCGTGGGACTCGCTTGAGATGGGGGATGCGTTGCACGCTGCCTCTTATTCAACGAAGACACATCTATATATTTCTCCATTTCGTTAACTCTCTCTCTTCAACAAGTGTTAAGGTTTGTAGAGAGAGAAAGTAGAGAGGGGGAAATGGATTCAGTTCCCACCAAAGCCAGCAATGGTGGAGGGAGAAACATGGGTGTTGAATATGTTCTTAAAGTGTTTATGGGTTTGATATTTGTTGGTTATATGATGATTTGGGTTGTGATGCCTACTAAACTTTGGATGCCAAACTGGTGGGTGAAAATTAGTGCCCATACCCTCTCTACCAACTTTGGATTTCAAGGTTAATCTTTTACTTCTTTATCTATTTTTCTCCATTTAACATCTTTTTTTTTTTTTTCGATAAGTCGGTGGGGAGATGGCCTTCTGGTATAGGAATGGAGATTGAGATTTAGCGTTGCGAACCACGCTAGTCATTTAACTTCGGCTATCATTTAACTCAAGTTGTGTTCAAGAAAAAAAAAAAAAAAATCATTTCTCTTACCAGTTTTTATTTATTTATTTTATTTACAAGGAAATCTCAAAAGTTTTTTAATTGGATGCAGGACCTACTCTCTTAATCTTCACTTTCCCAATCCTGCTATTAGCGGTATTGGGTTGCATATATCTCCATTTAAGGGAGAAGCATCTCAAAGAGACATTCAAAAGGTGAGAGATTACTCAAACAGTTACAAGACACCACATTATGGCTTTTATAAGTTTATTTATGGTTTTTAGGTTCTATTTCTATAACACAAGTGTCATTGATCTTCGTACGTAACATTTTTCTAACTATTTGAGGTCCGAGTCCTAATCTGTCATTATGCTCTTATTATACGAATGACTTAGTGAAAATTATCCATAATATCCTAACTCATATTTGTTCCTATGATACTAATGTCAGATATGATGGATAAGGACTTTTATTAGGATATTATAATCTTGTTATTCTTGAGTGATCACTTGGGGTTTAAAATATCAAATTAATGTATCATTTCTTCAATAATTTTCCGTTAACACAAGTAAATATGAATTCAAAATATATAAAATTTAAGATATACATATTTTAGACATTTTTATTATAAAGGAAAAATATACAATGAGACTATCTATCTTTGATAAATTAATGGCTGGATTTATTCTATTGATCAATCTCAAGTGCAAAAGACATTTTCTCAAACTTTGTGACACACCCAAACTATCTGATTTCATATCGGATCACTGGAAGCAATTGTGACCTCCTTGTATCAAAGATAAATGGTGTTATACAGTCCTACGGTAAAATTGACAATGATTTTTAACATATGTGAAAATTAAAATATCAAAATAATATTCAACGTAACAATTTTAACCAGAGTTTGAAAACTCGTCGAGTCGAGCCAGACTCGCCTGGTTCGACGATTCTTCGACTCGGGAATCGTCGGCTATCGTGCCAATTCCACTAAAAAATCAGGAATCGCCAGTGTCCAGAGAGAACCAATAGTGAATCGCGAGTCTCACCGAAAATTTTTGGGTTTACACGTGGCCACCTCACAAGAGCAACACGTGACACCTGGCAATTCCCAATAGTGAATCGCGAGTCTCACCGAAAATTTTTGGGTTTACACGTGGCCACCTCACGAGAGCAACACGTGGCATCTAAAAATCCTCTACACATGGTAATTCACCTCACTCGTATACCCCCTCTCACTTTTCTACATGCGCAGCTGATTGACTAGTACACAACACTTTATAAAGAAAAAAGGATTGCTCATCCTTCGATGTAAGCTAATTCCCACAAAAAATCATTCAGGCAAGATGTGTATTATATTATAGACGCTAATGAATCACATCAGGTGATGTAGTGGTGTTGGTTGACAACCTTGAATTTTTGGTAGACGTCTTGAGTTGAATTTTTGGTAGACGTCTTGAGTTCGAACCCTGCGCGTCATCGTTTATAATACAACATTTTTTTAAGATAAAAAATTAAAATAGAGATAAAGATAAAAAATAAAAAGCTTTTCAAGATAATGAATAAAAAGGTTGAAATAAAATAGAAAAAATAAAAAGCTTTTCTTATTGTAAAAAAAGCTTAAAAAATAAAAAATAAAAAACTTTTCAAGATAAAGATAAAAAATATAATACAACATTGTTTTTTATTTTTCTTGTAAAAAAAATACAAAGTAATATAAAAAGTATTTCTTGCAAAAAAATAAAACAAAAGGCATAAAAAAAATTTTCACAACAAAAATAAACAAAGGCAGAAAATATTGTTGTAAAAAAATAGAAA